AGATACCTTCCTGCACCTTTCAAACTGCCAAGGATTTATGTATTACGTATGAAGATGTCAACAGTGACTACCCAGCTGCCACTACATCAGAGTCTGATGTCATGCTGTCCAAAGTTGATAATAAAAGTGTTCATAGAAAGAAATCCAAACTGCCGTCCACATGTAATAGAATGCATACGGAAAGCAAGAACATCAAACCGTGTTTTTCATGTGAAAAACTTCATCTACGAAGCACTTAACGTTTTCGGAGTGCTAAGTGCCATAAATGTGGTAAAACTGGGCACATCAAGTCTGTCTGCAGAAGTTCAAATAATTATGCTACTCATGATTCTCCCAAACTGTCTGATAAAATGAAGTCAATATCTCTTTCAACTTTTCACAATACTCAATCTCATCTAGTGAGAAACTTCACTACAAGTTCAGGCAAGTCTCACTGTTTTATAATTGATACTGGGAGTACTGAATCTATAATTTCTAAGAAAGATTTACTATCACTTTGTAAGCATGCTCAGGTAGACCCTACTACTAGTTCAATTACAGGCATAACTGGTCATAAACTACCTCTTATTGGTGCAACTAACATTTGTTTGAAGTCAGACAGTGGTAATTTTGTGAATATCCCCTTTCTTGTTAGTGAATATGGTCCATCTTTATTGGGATTGAAAGCTCTTAGATTGTTAAATGTTGAAATCTCACCTTGTACTGAGTTGTTTGATGAATCTTTGTTCAGAGAATTAGTTTTTCAATGTTCAAAGTGTGTAGGTGGCATGAAGATTCAGCCCATCCATCTTGAAATAGAGGGTGATCCTATCTTCCTAAAGCGCCGATTAATTCCATATGGTTTGCGAGATGCAGTTAAGAAAGAGTTGGACAAGTTGGTTGAGCAGGGCATACTTATGCCAGTTGAATCTTCGAATTGGGCTACTCCCATTGTCACACCACTAAAGGCTGACGGAAAAACACCGAGAATTTGTGGTGACTATCGCCTTACACTCAATAGTCGTCTTCTACAGCAAAGTTGCACTACGCTAGAAAGCGAAGATATTCTCTACAAGCTACATGGCTCAAAATACTTTTCTAAAATAGATCTAAAAGATGCTTATTTGAAAATTCCTCTTGACGAAGCTTCTAGTGCATTAACAACCATTAATACTCCATTTGGATTGTTCAAGTATAAGTTCTTGCCTTTTGGTTTAAAGGTTTCTCCTGCAATATTTCAAAAAGTAATAAATCAGATGATAGACGGATTAGATGGTGTTGAGTCTTACCAAGACGACATTATAGTTCATGGTCCGAACATCGAATTGCATAATGAACGTCTTTTAAAACTGTTCAGGCGCTTCTGTGAGAAAAATGTTCTTGTTAATCCATCTAAATGTCATTTTACTTTGTCGTCTGTATCATGCTTGGGATATACAGTAGACTCTGAGGGTTTCAGACCTGATGCTAGGCGTTTGGCACCTCTAATTCAAGCACCGTCACCTAATAATATGACGTCGTTGAGATCATGGATTGGCACTCTTCAATTTTACTCCAGATTCATTCCCAATTTCACTCAACTGTTATCTCCACTTTTTAATATTGTCTCCAGTAAACAATTTAAGTGGGAACAACAACATGAAGATATCTTGCGAAAAACTTTGGAGTTTCTTAATAAACAAGCTTTCTTAAGACCTTTTTCATCGAAAGATAAGTCCGTTCTCACTACAGATGCTTCTCCTACGGGTATAGCTGCAGTACTTGAGCAAAATGGACAACCTGTTATTTGTATTTCAAAACGTCTAAGTAAGAGTGAACAAGGGTACTCACAAACCCAGAAAGAGGCTCTAGCAGTTGTATGGGCAATAAGACGTTTGCACAAGTATCTCTTTGGTACTAAGTTTCACATAGTTACTGATCATCAGGCTTTGAAATTCATTTACAACCCAGAAAAATCTTTGAATAGATCATCTGCTGCTATGGTTCAAAGATGGAGTTTAGAACTAAGTGCATATGATTACACTATTGAACACAGATCGGCTAAGGATATACCTCATGCAGACTTTTTATCTCGTTATTCATTATTTGAAAATTCTGCTAATGACACTGATTGTTTGTTAGTCCAGCCGTTACCTGTGGATAGAGTTCGACTTATAAACGATACTCGGAAATATTACGGGTGCATTATAAATGCAACAAAAAGAGGTTGGAATATTCAGTGCAAGCGAAGATTTCCGGACTTTTATAAGCGAAGAGATGAGATTTCAGTCCATCCTGAAGGATTTCTATGTCTGAATGACAGAATTATTATTCCTCCGACATTAAGATCTGCGATTTTGGATGATCTTCATTCTGCGCATCTGGGAGCTGATAAGATGAAATCATTAGCACGTCTAACATGTTGGTGGCCGGAAATTGATGCAGACATTAACAAAAGATCGAAGAGCTGTTCCAGCTGTTTGCATAAAATGTCCTATGGGAAGTCGTCGTGGAAACCGTGGCCTACGTCTTGTGAGGTTTGGCAGCGTATTCATGCAGATTACTGTGGTCCATTCTTAAATTCATACTATGCTTTAATTATTGTGGATTCTTATTCTAGATGGCCAGAAGTTATAATTACAGATAGTCCTAATGCGAAATTCACTCACAGAGCGTTGAGAAAGATTTTTAGTCGAGAACGAATTCCAGATGTCTTAGTTACTGATAATGGTACTCATTTCACTGAGAAGAACTTCAATGATTGGCTTAAACACATAGGTTGCCGTCATCTGTACACAGCACCACGTCATCCTCAGTTTAACGGTTTGGCAGAAAATTTCGTACGAACATTAAAGAGTGCCATAGCATCAATGAGTCCTAAGAATTTTGATGAGCTAGAGAGATGTGTAGATAACTTCCTACTTCAATATCGCAATGCGGAGCATACAAGTACCCATGAAAGTCCTGCTAAACTGTTTAAATCTCGAATTCTCAGAAAGCACCTAATGTCTACGACTTCTGATGTACATTATTACAGAGGGAATGACTATAGACCTTCTGTTGGAATCATACTACAAAAAATGGGAAATCGAATGGTGAAAATATTGGACATCGAAGATCATTCAATTCATAACAGACACTTGGATCAAGTGAGAATAAACGAAGTAGGTCGTTCCGATTATAATTTTAATGATTCCGCTACTAATCCTGATATTGTAGATAATTCAGAAATAAGTCCAGATGATACTGATGAAAATAATATCACAGAATCAGTTAGAAGATCCCAGAGACTTGCAAGCAAACTGAGACCTCATTATAAATACGCAAGGAGACATTCGACATGTGGCGGATGTGGTGATTGACTATTTCTATCTTTGTATTGTTTAAATACTTACTGTTGTTTGTTAACATATTTATTATTTTGATTTGAAACATAATTCCGCCAAATACAAATTCCTAAGTTCATCCTTCTCAGTGTTTTGATTGAGTTCCTGTAATTCGGTCATTGCGAAATACAATACTACTAGTACAAATAACAATCACACTTAGTCATAAGTGAATACCAAATTAATATTTCTTTGTTGAATCCCTAAGGACCCAACTCATGTCATGGTAGATTTCAGCATTGAGACGTAGCATCATTAAAAATCACACATTCACGTTTCACAGTAATTTATATGAAAATGATAAAGCGTTATGAGGCGGAATAATTGACATATATCAAGCTAAAATGTTAACAGGAAGGCCAATAAACCTAAGAAGACGGATAACAGTACATTTAATTTGGTATTAAAACAAAATTTATGAAGGAAGGTTTAATATAATGTAATGTAATGACGTGAAGGTGGCTTTAACTTCCACAAATTTTACGACACACCATGAACACGTTTTCTAGATAGGCTCAAAAGACGTTTAAATTTCAGTTCTATGACATATATATAATATATTTCGTATTGGAAGGTATTCGATTGTCTGTTGTCACCACTGATAGGTTCTGAGGATTAGATATGTTTCTGAAGTCAGTTAGGAATAGCCTCTGCAGCCTGTACTCGTAGAAATCGATGAGTCCTCCTTACGTATGTGAGTGATGACACGTACATTTAAAACAGTAGATACAATGGGATATATGATTGATGATAAATTCATTGTACTGAGTCTGTTTACTTTGGGATATGACATTATTTTTAATATGTTCTAACACTTTGAATGGATATGCTGGTTTCACGTTCTCAATGGACGGGATCTTAATAGAATAAAACGTCTTTCTGACCACTGCGTTCAAATATTTATCTATGAATCAAGCTATTCTGATCATCCATGTAGAGCAGCTTCATATATACATCCTTTAACAGTGGGACGCTGGATAACAGATTTTGAAGCTTTGACCACCTTATATGAACTTCTCTGGGTAATTATTTTCAAATCGAGTTCCTTTCAATATGTTTTTCCTACTTACCTCCAAACATGTTATGTGTGAATACTCTTTAGACCTTAACCAATAGGCACCTTAACGCTTTATTATTTTTGTATGAAATCCTATGGCGATTTACATGTGATCAGATTGTTCGAAATATTTTTTTCACAAAAACATCAGATGCTTAGAACGAAGTTAATCTTATTATTATTTTTATCGAATTTCTTTGTTACTAAATTGAAAAATATTGTAACAGGATAGTGTACATCTGATATTACAAGCTTCATGATCAACAGGCTGGTTTATCATCTCTGGGAGAATTCCTATTATATTATTATTATTGTCCCCTTGGGTTCCGAGTGGTACATGGGGCTCCAACAGCACATCTCCACTCGGCCATATGTCCTGCGGACCCATTTCATTTGGCCTCACTGTTGTCTATGGTGTCTGACCTCCTCCCCGTGCGACCTCTTCCAGTTCACCTTCTAGCACAAGCCCATTTCGTCATTTCGCACTCGGGTTCCACATGAGAGATGGCCCGGATCACGATGTCTTTCGACAGTCTCCTTAGCCTGTGTCCACTCCATCTCTATTTTATTCTACATATTTGTTGAGGAATCGGCTCTTGGTTGGTTTGTTCCCAGCCACAGTTTCTTGTTACTAATTCTCTCTGGCTAGCAATTCGATCTTCATTATGAAGCCAGCAAAGCCAGCTATTTATAGAAGTCTGAAGCCACCAGCTGGAAATGCTTTTGATGACGCGTTCTCCACGTTTCTTACCCACGTTTCTTCTCTTGGCGGCCTGCTTAAATCTTGGGCTACCAAATACCTTATTCATTACAAATCATATTGCATCTAATTGCTCATTTCCAATTTATTTTAAATAATTAAATTTTATTCTAATATGTCCTCTAATCGGATTATTTATTCTCGTGAGTATTTAATATCCTTAAAACCTACTGATCGGAAATGCCATAAAAGAGACAAAAAAAGCATCATGCTGGGTGGCAAAGAGCCTTAAAAAACACCCCTATTCAATTAATGACCGTTCCTGCAATCATGAGTACTAATTGTCGCTCCCTGCCAGCCAAGATTAACTGTCTTCAATCACTCGTGTCTTCCATTATATATCGAAATACTGGTATCATATCACTTCAAGAAACATGGCTACATGATCTATATGATGACAATCTAGTGTATCTGCATGATTTCAAATTATTCAGACAAGATCGATTTAGCTCTAGGAAGAAACGTGGTGGCGGTGTCGCCATCTTCATAAATTCACAATGGTGTACACCTAATAAAGTATGTTTCAAATTCTCTAGTGACAACATTGACTGCCTCACCGTCAAATATCGACGTAAGCATTTGTCAAAATATAACTACATATACATCTCGAACATTTATATTGCGCCTGGATGCAATTCCACTGAATTGTCTTTATTTGAGGATGAATTTACCTCCTTTGCTGCCACCTCCTTCGGAAACTCCTTGTCTATAGTTACTGGAGATTTCAATTCTAGTGATCACAGTTTCCTTATTTCACTTGGTCATGATAACATTGTCAACTTCCCAACTCGAATGGATAATATTCTAGATCTTGTGTACACAAATGACATTAGAATATTTGAAGCTCGGAAAAGAGCCCCACTACTTAACTCTGATCACTGCATCATAAGAGTATTGCCCAAGGTATATGGAAAGCTGCACAAAAGGGTCTTCTCTCACCTTGGAAAGAAAACACAACACAGATGTTATTCACATGACAACATACAGAATCTAAGGACAATGTTCAAAGACACAAACTGGGACCTGTTTACTGAACAAGCTCTTGACAACACAATTAGTAACATAACACATTACCTCAATTTCTGTCTTGATGTTTGTTGTCCTAAAGAGACAATCTTCTTAAAATTCGACCGTTTCGCCTCTTCTCAACTCAAAAAGCTTCGCCGTGAAAAAGACAGGTTGTACAAAATGAGAAATAAATCTGGCGTTAAGAGAATGAACACTTTAATTAAAGCCGAATTACAAAGACTAAATGCTCTCTATAACCAGAAGTTTCTTTCATGTAAATCCTCATCTAATATGTGGAAGCTATTAAAAGAAATCACAGGTGGTAAGCAAATAATGAATGATACTTCCGTTGATGTTGATATGCTTAATAAATCCTTCATATGTATCCCTGCAGATGTTATGATTCCAAAATCTAATAGTATAAATAATGACTGCTTCTCATATTTTAACACGAATGATATCCTCAAGTGTCTTCAATCTCTCAAACCTACCCAGTCCCTTGGTCCTGATGGAGTTCCTGCTTTTATCCTTAAGAAGTGTGCTGACATCTTATGTTACCCATTAACCGACATTTTCAATGAATCTTTTTCCAAAAGTATTATTCCTGACTCATGGAAAAATACCAAGGTTGTTCCAGTGCCCAAATCAACAAGTGGACCTACTGTCAAGTTTAGACCCATCGCTATTACCTCACCTTTTTTAAAAGTTATGGAAAGACTTATTTTACTTAATCTTGAACCCTCTTTAAAGCCTTTTAATGACCCCAACCAGTTTGCCTATAAACATAGTAGGTGTACCTTAGATGCCGCTGTTGTTCTATATCATAATATAGTCTCTAGTTTAGATAGAGGAGCCAAATATGTTCGGTGTGCCTTCCTTGATCACACATCTGCATTTGACTCTGTACCTAGGTCTCTCTTGTTAAGTAAGCTTGCTGCAACACAGAGTGAGAGCTGGATAAATAAGTGGTTGTATTCCTACTTTTCTGATAGGAAGCAGTACACTGTCTACAATGGAAAGTCCTCCACTACCTCACTAACTTTAGCTGGTGTTCCTCAAGGTGCTGTTCTTTCTCCTTTTCTGTTTTCTTTTTTCTTACATGACTTGCCCCATTCTGATGTAGCAAATTTTGTCAAGTATGCTGATGAACTCTCTGTCTCCATGCCTGTCAACTCTCAGTCAGACTGTTCCACATTAAATAACTATCTCTCGGAAATTAGTCAGTGGTCCTCTTCAAACGGTCTTAAGCTGAATCCGTCTAAATGTCAGGTAGTAAATTTTACTTTCAGACGAAAAAGTGACCTACAACAACTAGCTAGCTCACATGGTCCCACTATCATTGATGACATAGAGGTTGAAACTACATCTAATGTCAAGTACCTTGGACTGAGTGTTTCCTCCGATCTTTCCTGGTCCTCTCACATCTTGCTAGTGACTGGAAAGATGTTTCGCTTAACGTTCTACCTTAGGAAGTTTAGGCAGTCTGGTATAAAGCAGTCTTTGCTTTCTCAGTTTGTCAACTCTTGTATTCTACCCATCCCTCTTTACTGCTCCCCATTAATCTTCCCTGGACTACTTTATAAAGACTTTGCTTCGCTGCATAGGGCACTAAAAGCTGTTAGTAGGACAAGTGGGATATCGTTAAACCAACTGGTTAACACCATTGTGGATAGACATATAATGTCATGTAAGAAACTAGCGAATACTATATTGTCAGACCCTGAGCATCCTCTCTATACACAGCTCTCTCCTTGCATTTCATCTGGTAGAACTAGAAGCAACTATAGGAGGCTATATGCTGGGACTACCGAGTACAAAATCTCCACAATACCTTATATGGCACAGCTGTTATGTGATGAGAAAACTATTAGGCATGACACGATCAACTTACTGCGGCACTCTAACAAATAGTTCTCATTAGCTTTTGTTCTCCTTTCTTTCTTACTATTATATCGTTGCTCATATATTCTATTACACACTAATTTGATATTTCATATCCTGTGGTTCATTGTTTAAATATGTGAATGCAATGCTGTTCTTTTTTATTTCTTTTATTTATCTTTTTTTTTCTTTTTGTTGCTTTATATTTTTAAATCCTTATAAAATTTATGAGGTAATTAGATGCGATATTGTAATGAAGGCTGAAAATTC